AATACTTGAAAAAATCAGAAAAAAGATCAGGAAAAATTTGAAAAAAATCCAGGGAAAAATGGAAAAAATCTGGAAATGTGAAAAAATCAGGAGAGAAAAAAATCAGGGGAAAAATGGAAAACAAATAATGCAGAAATGAAAAAAAATTAATGGAAAAATTTTTAAAAATCAGGAAAAAATTAAAAATCTGGAAAAATTTGGCAAAAATCATGAAAAATTTGAAAGAAAATTGAGAAAATTTGAAAAAAATCAAGGGATAAATTTAAATAAATCGGGGGAGAAATTAAAGAAGTTAATGGAAAAATGGGGGAAAATGGAGAAAAATCAGGCAAAAATTGAAAAATATCAGGGGAAAAATTGAAAAATTCAGGAAAAAAATCAGGAAAAAATAGGAAAAAATCAGAAGAAAAATTGAAAAACTCGGGGAAAAAAATCAGGTAAAAATAGAAAAAAATCAGGGGAAAAATGGAAAAAAATCAGAAAAAAAAAGGAATTTTTGGGAAGGGAAGGAAATGATAAAGGGAGGTAAAAAAGTGGGAAAAGAGGAGAAATTCCAGGGAAAATCAGGAAAAGCGAAGGGGGGGAAGTCCCTGAGGCCGCGGGTGGGGGAGGGGCCGCGCCCCTCCCCCCATCACCCCTCCCCCCCTCAAATTCCCCCCAAAATTCCCCATTTTTTGGGTCAGTTTGGGCTTTTTTTTTGGGATTTTTGGGGTGTTTTTGGAGTAATTTCTGGCTTTTTTTTGGAGCATTTTTTGGGTCATTTTGGGTTTTTTGGGGGCATTTCCGGATTTTTTTGGGGACTTTCTTTTTAAAGATTTTTTAGGGTAATTTCTGACTTTTTAAAGGTATTTTTTTGGGCCATTTTGGGTTTTTTTCGGGGCATTTTTTGGGTCATTTCAGGTTTTTTTGGGACATTTCTGGATTTTTTTCTTTTTTTTTAGATTTTTTGGGGCATTTTGGGGTCATTTCTGGCTTTTTAAAAGTTATTTTTTGGGTGTATTTTTTTGGGCAATATTGGAGTTTTTTGGGCATTTCCAGATTTTTTTGGTGCTTTTTTTTTTTTTTTTGATTTTTTGGGTCATTTTGGGCTTTTTTTGGGGCATTTTTTTGGCCATTACGGGTTGTTTTGGGGCATTTCCGGATTTTTTGTTTTAGATTTTTTTAGGGGATTTTTTGGGGCATTTTGGGGCCATTTCTGGCTTTTCAAAGGTATTTTTCGGGCTTTTTTTTGGGGTATTTTTTGGGCCATTTTGGGGTTTTTTTTAGGGCATTTCTGGAATTTTTTAATGAGATTTTTTAGGGGATTTTTTGGGTCATTTCAGGTTTTTTTTTTTTTTTTTTTTTTTTTTTTTTTTTTTTTTCCCCGGTTTTTTTGCATTTTTTTTGAAAAGTTTTGTTAACTCTTTTTGGGTTTTTTTTTTTTTTTTTTTTTTTTTTTGGTAATTCACGGATTTTCTGTAGAATTTTTGGGCTGATTTCTGACTTTTCTCGGGGCATTTTTTTGGGGCATTTCTGGATTTTTTTGGGTATTTTTTTGCATCATTTCCAGATTTATTGAACATTTTTTGGGTCATTTCAGGGTTTTTTTGGGCCATTTTTGGGGCCATTTTTGGGATTTTCCAGGAACATCCCCAATGATTTCCCCCTGAATTTTTGTGACCCTTTCCCAGGAATATTCTGATTATTCCCCTCATTTTTGGGGACCCTTTTTTGGGATTTTTCAGGAATATCCCAATGATTTCCCCCCATTTTGGGGACCCTTTTCCAAGAATATTCTCCTTATTTTCCCCCCATTTTTGGGGATCCATTTTTGGGATTTCCCAGGAACATCCCAAAGATTTTTTCCCCATTTTTTGGGATCCATTTTTGGGATTTCCCAGGAACATTCCAATGATTCCCCCCATTTTTTGGGATCCATTTTCGGGATTTCCCAGGAACATCCCAATGATTTTCCCCCCGAATTTTTGGGATCCTTTCCCACGAATATTCTGATTACTCCCCTCATTTTTGGGGACCCTTTTTTGGGATTTTCTGGGAATATCCCAACAATTTTCAGCCCCAGTTTTTGGGACCCTTTCCCAGGAATATTCTGATTATTCCCCCCATTTTTTGGGATCCATTTTTGGGATTTTTTAGGAATATCCCAGTGATTCCCCCCCCCCAAATTTGGGATCCATTTTTGGGATTTTCTGAGAACATCCCAATGATTCCCCCCATTTTTTGGGATCCATTTTCGGGATTTCCCAGGAATATCCCAACAATTTCCTCCCGAATTTTTGGGACCCTTTCCCACGAATATTCTGATTATTCCCCTCCTTTTTGGGGACCCTTTTTTGGGATTTTCTGGGAATATCCCAAAAATTTTCGGCCCCAGTTTTTGGGATTTCCCAGGAATATTCTGATTATTCCCCCCATTTGATCTGGTGGTGTGTGTGGAGTTCCTGCTGGTGTTTGTGGAGTTCCTGGTGGAGTTTGTGATGTTCCTGCTGGTGTTTATGGGGTTCCTGGTGGTGTTTGTGATGTTCCTGGTGCTGTTTCTGGAGTTCCTGGTGGTGTTTCTGGTGTCTCTGGTGGTGTTTGTGGAGTTCCTGCTGGTATTTATGGAGTTTCTGCTGGTGTTTATGGAGTTCCTGGTGGTGTTTATGGAGTTCCTGCTGGTGTTTATGGAGTTCCTGCTGGTGTTTATGGAGTTCCTGCTGGTGTTTATGGAGTTCCTGCTGGTGTTTATGGAGTTCCTGCTGGTGTTTATGGAGTTCCTGGTGGTGTTTGTGGAGTTCCTGCTGGTGTTTATGGAGTTCCTGGTGGTGTTTATGGAGTTCCTGGTGGTGTTTATGGAGTTCCTGGTGGTGTTTCTGGTGTTTGTGGTCCCTGCTGGTGTCTGTGGAGGATCTGATGGTGTTTATGGGGTTCCTGGTGGTGTCTGTGGAGTTCCTGGTGGTGTTTATGGAGTTCCTGCTGGTGTTTCTGGTGATTGTGGTCCCTGCTGGTGTCTGTGGAGGATCTGATGGTGTTTATGGAGTTCCTGGTGGTGTGTGTGGAGGATCTGATGGTGTTTCTGGAGTTCCTGGTGGTGTTTATGGAGTTCCTGCTGGTGTTTATGGTGTCTCTGGTGGTGTTTCTGGTGTTTGTGGTCCCTGCTGGTGTCGGGGCTCCCCTCGAGGCCGCGCTCACCTCATCCTCTCCTGCTCGCGCCGCAGCCGCTCCTTCTCGCGCTCCACCTGCTCGGCCTGGGCCTTGAGCGCCTTCTCGCGCTCCTCCTTCTCGCGCGCCGCCCGCTTGAACTGCTCGAAGGAGTCGCTCGAGGACTTGGCCGCGGCCGCCGGCGCCGCCGGGTGCTTCTGCACCAGCGACGCCCACGAGCCCATGTTCTTGATCTTCAGGTCCTGCCGAGACACCGCCACCACCGGGTCACCATGGGCCACCACAGGGTCACCACGGGGTCACCAGGGGGTCACCACCGGGTCACCATGGGGCCACCACAGGGCACCACCGGGTCACCGTGGGGCCACCACCGGGTCACCATGGGGTCTGAGAGCCACCACCGGGTCACCATGGGGCCACCACAGGGCACCACCGGGTCACCGTGGGGCCACCACCGGGTCACCATGGGGTCTGAGAGCCACCACCGGGTCACCATGGGGCCACCACCGGGTCACCAAGGGGTCTGAGAGCCACCACGGGGTCACCACGGGGTCTGGGAGCCACCAGAGCCGTGGTGGCCCCCATGGGATCCTCCAGTGACTTTGTCCTGAGGAACCGGAGCCAAACTGGAGATCCCTCAGCCTGGTGGGACCTCAGGGTGGGAACTCCCAACCCTGGAGATCTCCAGGTCCCTCAGCCTGGTGGGACCTCAGGGGCTTCTCCCAGATCCAACCCCAGAGTTCTCCAGGTCCCCCTGGATCCCACCCCTCCCTGAGCCTGGTGGCACCTCAGGGAAGAACCTCTGGAAGGTTCTGGAACCTCTCCAGGTTCCCTGGGACCCCCAAACCCTCCCTGAGCCTGGTGGGACCTCACACAAGGACCTCTGGAAGGTTCTGGAGCTTCTCCAGGTCCCTTGGTACCCCTGAGCCTGGTGGCATCTCATGGAAAGTTCTGGAGTTTCTCCAGGTTCCCTGAGACCCCCAAACCCTCCCTGAGCCTGGTGGGACCTCATGGAATGTTCTGGAGCTTCTCCAGGTTCCCTGAGACCCCCAAACCCTCCCTGAGCCCGGTGGCACCTCATGGAAGAACCTCTGGAAGGTTCTGGAACTTCTCCAGGTTCCCTGGGACCCCTGAGCCTGGTGGCATCTCATGGAAGGTTCTGGAGCTTCTCCACATTCTGTGGGACCCCCAAACCCTCCCTGACCCTGGTGGCACCTCATGGAACAACCTCTGGAACATTCTGGAGCTTCTCCAGGTCCCTTGAGACCCCTGAGCCTGGTGGCACCTCATGGAAGGTTCTGGAACTTCTCCAGGTTCCCTGAGACCTCCAAACCCTCCCTGAGCCTGGTGGCACCTCATGGAAGGTTCTGGAACTTCTCCAGGTTCCCTGAGACCTCCAAACCCTCCCTGAGCCTGGTGGCACCTCATGGAAGGTTCTGGAACCTCTCCACGTTCTGTGGTACCTCCAAACCCCCCCTGATCCTGGTGGGACCTCAGGACCTTGTTTGGGATCCAAAAAATCGGGAATGCTGGGGATTTGGGACCCAAACATTGGGAATTCTGGGGGTTGGGACCCAAACATTGGGAATTCTAGGGATTTGGGACCAAAAAAATGGGAATTCTGGGGTTTGGGACCCATACATTGGGAATTCTGGCCAAAAAATTGGGGATTTGAAACCCAAAAATTGGGAATTCTGGGGTTTGGGACCCAAAAATTGGGAATTCTGGCCAAAAAATTGGGAATTATAGAAATTTAAGGCCCCGAAATTCAGAATTCTGACCCCAAAATTGGGAATTCTGGAGATTTGGGACCCAAACATTGGGAATTGTGGGGATTTGGGACCCAAAAATTGGGAATTCTAAAACCCCGATCCCGACCCCAATCCTGATCCTGATCCCGACACCGCCCGCAGCTCCTAAAGGAAACCGGGGTCAGGATGGGACCCGAAATCCCAAACCCAATCCTAATCCCAATCCTGATTGCAATTCCTGCCATGGAAATCTGGGATCAGGATGGGATCCAAAATCCTGATCCTAATCCTGATCCCGACACTGCACGCAGCTCCTGCAGGAAATCTGGGATCAGGATGGGATCCAAACTCCCAAACCCGACCCCAATTCTGACTGCAATTCCTGCACGAAACCCGGGGTCAGGATCAGATCCCAAATCCCGATCCCAATCCTGATCCCGACATCGCTCACAGCTCCTGCAGGAAATCTGGGATCCGGATGGGATCCAAAATCTCAATCCCAATCCTAATCCCAAACCCCAAACCCCACGCTCACCCTGACCCGAACCCCATGGTTTCACCTGACCCCAAACCCCAAACCCCACAGCAGGAAATCTGGGATCAGGATGGGATCCAAACTCCCAAACCCGACCCCAATTCTGACTGCAATTCCTGCACGAAACCCGGGGTCAGGATCAGATCCCAAATCCCGATCCCAATCCTGATCCCGACATCGCTCACAGCTCCTGCAGGAAATCTGGGATCAGGATGGGATCCAAACTCCCAAACCCGACCCCAATTCTGACTGCAATTCCTGCACGAAACCCGGGGTCAGGATCAGATCCCAAATCCCGATCCCAATCCTGATCCCGACATCGCTCACAGCTCCTGCAGGAAATCTGGGATCAGGATGGGATCCAAACTCCCAAACCCGACCCCAATTCTGACTGCAATTCCTGCACGAAACCCGGGGTCAGGATCAGATCCCAAATCCCGATCCCAATCCTGATCCCGACATCGCTCACAGCTCCTGCAGGAAATCTGGGATCAGGATGGGATCCAAACTCCCAAACCCGACCCCAATTCTGACTGCAATTCCTGCACGAAACCCGGGGTCAGGATCAGATCCCAAATCCCGATCCCAATCCTGATCCCGACATCGCTCACAGCTCCTGCAGGAAATCTGGGATCAGGATGGGATCCAAACTCCCAAACCCGACCCCAATTCTGACTGCAATTCCTGCACGAAACCCGGGGTCAGGATCAGATCCCAAATCCCGATCCCAATCCTGATCCCGACATCGCTCACAGCTCCTGCAGGAAATCTGGGATCCGGATGGGATCCAAAATCTCAATCCCAATCCTAATCCCAAACCCCAATCCCCACGCTCGCCCTGACCCGAACCCCATGGTTTCACCTGACCCCAAACCCCACACCCCGACCCCGACCCCGCGGCGTCACCTGTTTTTTTGGCTGGATGCTCTGCTGAGGGGGCGACTGAGGCACGAGGCCCTGGAACGGCGCCATCTGTGGGGAAGGCATCATGAGGGGGGAGGGGGCTTCCCGCAGGTGACCTGCAACAGGGGGAGCCGTCAGTCAGCGTCGCCACCACCGCCGACCCCAAAACCCAGCTCGCACCCGCAGAACCCAAAACGTCCTGAGGAGCATCGGGGTTTCCTTAAAGAACCCCAAAATGTTCTTGGGGAACGTCAGGGTTTCTTCAGAGAACCCAAAATGTTCTTGAGGAACATCGGGGTTTCCTCAGAGAACCCAAAATGTTCTTGAGGAACGTCGGGGTTTCCTCACAGAACCCAAAAACCTCCTTGAGGAACGTTGGGGTTTCCTCTAAGAAGCCAAAATGTTCTTGAGGAACATCAGGATGTTCTCAAAGAACCTCAAGATGTTCTTGAGGAACACTGAGTTTTCCTCAAAGAACCCAAAACGTCCTTGAGGAACATCAGGGTTTCCTCAAAGAACCCAGAATGTCCTGAGGAACGTCGGGGTTTCCTCACAGAACCCGAAATGTTCATGAGGAACGTCGGGGTTTCCTTAAAGAACCCCAAAATGTCCTTGAGGAACATTGGGGTTTCCCCACAGAACCCAAAAACATTCTTGAGGAACGTCAGGGTTTCCTCAAAGAACCCAAAATGTTCTTGAGGAACATCGGGGTTTCCTTAAAGAACCCAAAATGTCCTTGAGGAACGTCGGGGTTTCCTCAGAGAACCCAAAATGTCCTTCAGGAATGTCGGGGTTTCCTCAAAGAACCCAAAATGTCCTTGAGGAACGTCGGGGTTTCCTCAAAGAACCCCAAAATGTTCTTGAGGAACGTCGGGGTTTCCTCAAGGAACCTCAAGATGTTCTTGAGGAACACTGAGTTTTCCTCAAAGAACCCAAAACGCCCTTGAAGAACATCAGGGTTTCCTCAAAGAACCCAAAACGTCCTTGAGGAACGTCGGGGTTTCCTCAAAGAACGTTCTTGAGGGACATCAGGATGTTCTCAAAGAACCCTGGAATGGCCTCAAAGAACCTCAAAATGTCCTTGAGGAATGTTGGGCTTTCCTCAAAGAACCCAAAACGTCCTGGAGGAACATCAGAGTACCCTCAAAGAACCCAAAATGTTCTTGAGGAACATTGGGGTTTCCTTAAAGAACCCAAAATGTCCTTCAGGAACATCGGGGTTTCCTTAACAAATGCAAAATGTCCTTGAGGAACATCAAGATGTTCTTGAGGGACACCAAGTTGTTCTCAGAGAACCCTGAGATGGCCTCAAAGAACCCAAAATCGTCCTTGAGGAACGTCGGGGTTTCCTCAAAGAATGCAAAACATCCTTGAGGAACATCAGGGTTTCCTCAAAGAACCCAAAATGTCCTTCAGGAATGTTGGGGTTTCCTCAAAGAACCCAAAATGTCCTTGAGGAACATTGGGGTTTCCTCAATGAACCTCAAGATGTTCTTGAGGAACATTGAGTTTTCCTCAAAGAACCCAAAACGTCCTTGAGGAACGTCAGGGTTTCCTCAAAGAACCCAAAAACTCCTTTAGGAACATCAAGATGTTCTCAAAGAACCCCAAAATGTTCTTGAGGAACATGGGGGTTTCCCCAAAGAACCCAAAATGTCCTTGAGGAATGTTGGGGTTTCCTCACAGAACCCAAAAACGTCCTTGAGGAACGTCAGGGTTTCCTCAAAGAACCCAAAATGTCCTTGAGGAACATCAAGATGTTCTCAAAGAACCCCAAAATGTTCTTGAGGAACATGGGGGTTTCCCCAAAGAACCCAAAATGTCCTTGAGGAATGTTGGGGTTTCCTCACAGAACCCAAAAACGTCCTTGAGGAACGTCAGGATGTTCTCAAAAGACATCAGGATGGCCTCAAAGAACCCAAAACGTCCTGAAGGAACATCAGGGTTTCCTCAAGGAACCCAAAAACGTCCTTGAGGAACGTCAGGGTTTCCTCAATGAACCTCAAGATGTCCTTGAGGAACACCGGGGTTTCCTCAAGGAACACAAAATATCCTTGAGGAACATCGGGGTTTACTCAAACAACCCCAAGATGTTCTTGAGGAACACCGGGATGTTCTCATCCATCACCCACCATCCCTCCACCCCTCCTGCTGTCCGTGTGTCCGTCCTGGCGCTCACCGCTGCCGTAGGGGTCGGCTTTGTGGTGCCGCGGCGACGGGTAAATCCCACCCAGAGATGGCTCCTTCTGGGATGTCCCAGGAGGGAACGGTGGTGGGACCAGGAGAAACACCCCCGCAAGACCATGGTGGACACCACGAGTGAAGAAGGTCCCTCTTCCCCGCCCACCACCATCCTCCTCCTCTTGGGACAACCCCACAAGACCATGGTGGACACCAAGAGTGAAGAACCTCCCTTTCCCCCATCTACCACCACCATCTTCCTCCTGGCACATCTCCACAAGACCATGGTGGACACCATGACCCAAGACCCTCCCTCTCCTGCACCCACCACCATCCTCTTCCTCTTGGGACACCCCACCAAGTCCGTGGTGGACACCAAGACACAAGAACGTCCCTCTTCCCCCATCCACCCTCTTCCAGAAGATCCCAATCCCACCCACCACCATCCTCCTCCTCTTGGCACATCCCAACAAGACCATGGTGAACACCATGACCCAAGACCCTCCCTTTCCCCCATCTACCACCATCCTCCTTCTCTTGGGACATCCCAGCATGACCATGGTGGACACCACGAGTGAAGAAGGTCCCTCTTCCCCACCCACCACCACCCTCTTCCTCTTGGCACATCTCCACAAGACCATGGTGGACACCACGACCCAAGACTCTTGCTCTCCTGCACCCACCACCACCCTCTTCCTTTCGGGACATCCCCACAAGACCATGGTGGACACCAAGAGTGAAGAACCTCCCTTTTCCCCGCCCACCACCATCCTCCTCCTCTTGGGACAACCCCACAAGACCATGGTGGACACCACGACCCAAGACCCTCCCTCTTGTGCACCCACCGCCATCCTCCTCCTCCTGGCACCGCCCCCAAGCCCGCGGTGCACACCACGAGTGAAGAACCTCCCTTTCCTCCATCAATCACCATCCTCCTCCTCTTGGGACATCCCAACAAGACCATGATGAACACCAAGATCCAAGAACCTCCCTTTCCCCACCCACCACCATCCTCTTCCTCTTGGCACATCCCATAAGACCATGATGGACATCAAGACCCAAGAAACTCCCTCTTCCCCCATCTATCACCATCCTCTTCCTCTACAATATTGGGACATCCCATCAAGATCAGGATGGACACCAAGACCCAAGAACCTCCCTTTCCCCCATCTACTGCCATCCTCCTCCTCTTGGGACATCCCAGCATGACCATGGTGCACACCACAACCAAAGACTCTTGCTCTCCTGCACCCACCACCATCCTCCTCCTGCTGGCACCGCCCCCAAGCCCGCGGTGGGCACCGCGGCGCCGCGCGTGCCGCTCACCTGGAGGAGACACCACGTGCTGGTTGAGGTGGGGCGGGGTGCTGTGCTCGGGCGCCGGGGGCAGGTGGGGCGGGGGCAGCTCGGGCTGGGGCAGGTGCAGGATGGGCTGCCCGAAGTGGGCCATGGTGTCGAACATGGCGCCCGGCAGGGCGTGCTCCAGCACGGGCACCTGCGCGGGCACGAAGGGCGGCGGCGGCGACGCGTTTTGGACACCAAAATGTTCTTTTGATTGTCAAAATGACCTCTCGGGTCTTCCAAATGTGGTTTTCGAAACTAAAATGGTCTTTTGGTCACCAAAATGATCTCTTGGGTTAGCTACAGGTGGTCTTGGACACCAAAATGGTCTTTTGGTCATCAAAATGAGCTCTTGGGTCATCTAAAGGTGGTTTTGAACACCAAAATGACCTCTTGGGCCACCAAAATGAGCTCTTGGGTCATCTAAATGTGGTTTTGGACACCAAAATGACCTCTTGGGCCACCAAAATGGCTCTCTGGTCACATGAATGCTGTCCTACGTCATCAAAATGCCCAACTTCATAATCAAACTAATTTTTTTGGTCAACAAAATGTTTTTTTAGTCATTGAAATGTGTTCCTTGGCCATCAAAATGCAGTTGTGGTCACTGAAATGCTCTCTTGGGTCATCTAAGTCCCTTGTGGGTCATCTGAATGGTTTTTTGGTCACCAAAACGATTTTTCGGGTTATCAAAATACATTTTAGGCCTCAAAATTAACTCCTGAGTCATCAAAAGGACTTTTTTGGTCATCAAAACAATCTCTTGGATCATCTCAATGAGGTTTTTGGTCACCAAAATGTTCTTCTGTTCCACCAAAAATGGTTTTTGGTCACCAAAACGACCGATCCCATCCCAATCCATGGATCCAACCCCAATCCAACCCTAATCCATGGATCCCATCCCAACCCAATTAACGGATCCAATCCCAATCCAACCCCAACCCATGGATCCCACCCCAACCAAATCCACCAATCCAATCCCACGGATCCAATTCCAATCCCACGGATCCAATCCCAATCCCATTCCTACCTTTTTCTGCTCCCGCCCCGAGTGCCCTTTTTTCTTCAATTTTGGCGCCATTTCTGCCAAAAAAAAAGGGGAAAAGAAATTAATTTGGGAACGGATCCAGACAAACCCGACGGCACCGATCGGGAACGGGGCTGGAATTCCCCAGGGACCGACTGGAATTCCCCAGGGATTTCTGGGATTGGGGAGCGGGGATTTTGCCGCCAAAAAAAAAGAGAAGGAAAATTGTTGGAAAAAGATCCAACGGGCAAGAAAATCCATGGATTCCAGAGGATCAGATATCCCGGGAATGTCGCTGCTCCAGAGGGAGAACCTTGGAAAATTCCATCGCCGGTCGTTGGATCCCACCTGGAATCCCAGAATTGAGGAGATTCCAAGGATTTCAACCCAAAGACGATCCCAAATTTCAACCCGAAGTTCCCAAATTCCACTGCCAGCTGATGGGTTCCAGTCAGAATTGTGAGGTCCAGAAGATTCCAAGGATTTCAACCCAAGGATGATCCCAAATTCCATCACCAGTCGTTGGACCCCAGTCAGAACTGCGAGGTCCAAAAGAAAATCCCAAAGATTTCAACCCAAAAATGATCCCAAATTCCATCGCCGGTGTTGGATCGCAGTCGGAATCGTGAGGTCTAAAATGAAATTCCAAGGATTTCAACCAAGGATGATCCCAAATTCCATCGCCGGTGTTGGATCGCAGTCGGAATCGTGAGGTCTAAAATGAAATTCCAAGGATTTCAACCAAGGATGATCCCAAATTCCATCACCAGTTGTTGGTCCCAGTCAGAATCACATTCCCAGAAGGATCATCCTGGGATTTTGGAGATCCCAACCCAAGGATGATCCCAAATTCCATCACCAGTTGTTGGTCCCAGTCAGAATCACATTCCCAGAAGGATCATCCTGGGATTTTGGAGATCCCAACCCAAGGATGATCCCAAATTCCATCACCAGTTGTTGGTCCCAGTCAGAATCACATTCCCAGAAGGATCATCCTGGGATTTTGGAGATCCCAACCCAAGGATGATCCCAAATTCCATCACCAGTTGTTGGTCCCAGTCAGAATCACATTCCCAGAAGGATCATCCTGGGATTTTGGAGATCCCAACCCAAGGATGATCCCAAATTCCATCACCAGTTGTTGGTCCCAGTCAGAATCACATTCCCAGAAGGATCATCCTGGGATTTTGGAGATCCCAACCCAAGGATGATCCCAAATTCCATCACCAGTTGTTGGTCCCAGTCAGAATCACATTCCCAGAAGGATCATCCTGGGATTTTGGAGATCCCAACCCAAGGATGATCCCGAACTCCATCACCGATTTTGGGTCCCAGTTGGAATTTTCTGGTCCGGAGGAGATTCCAAGGATGATCTCAAACTCCATCATTGATTTTGGGTCCCAGTTGGAATCGTGAGGTTCCATGCAGATCACCTGGAGATCCTGGAGAGCCAAACCCAAGGATGATCCCAACTTTCATCACTGCTTGTTGGGTCCCAGTCGGAATCGTGCTCCCAGAAGGATCCTCCTGGATTTTGGAGATCCCAACCCAAGGATGATCCCAAACTCCATCACCGATTTTGGGTCCCAGTTGGAATTTTCTGGTCCGGACGAGATTCCAAGGACTTCAACCCAAGGATGATCCCAAACTTCCTCCCCGGCCACCGGATCCGAGTCGGAATCGCGCTCCCAGAAGGATCATCCCGGATTTTGGAGCTCCCAACCCAACCCATGGATGAACCTTCAACCCCGAATCCACGGGGATAAAATCCAGCATTGATGGAAAAATCATTTCCAGGTGATTTTGGGACAGAAATGTTGAATTTATGGGATTTTTTCCCCAAAATCCTGATTTTATTCCCAACCAAACAGCAAAACGCCAACGGACGGATCCAAATTCCCACATCCGGGGGTGAAATTCCATGAAAAAAGCGAATTTTTTGAGTCCTTTTCTTGCTTTTATAATTCCCAAACATTCATTTTTCCAAGGTTTTGAGGAAGTGAGGAATTGGTGCTTCTAAGGCTGAGAAATCTTGGAAAAAAGGAACATAAAAAAAATGGATTTGGGGGAAAATATCAAAGTTTTTTGAGGCAGATCAAAGTTTTCTGGGAAAAAAAATCTGGATTTGGTGGTTTGGAGTGAAATTCATCCCAAAAAATGAAATTTTCCAGGTTTTTCTGCTTCCAACCACCACTTTTTTGGGAAAAATTAAGGTTCTGGATTTGGGATGAGCCAAATCTTGTTAATTTTGGTGGATTTGATGGAAAATCAAGCAAAAAATCAGGAAAAACATGATAAAAATAGGATTTAAAGGATAAATCCAGGGAAGAATTCAGCACCAATTCCTCGGATTTTCCCATTCCTGACTCAGGCTTAAAAACTCCAACAAAACCTCCAAAAATTTTACGGAAAATTCCAACAAACCCCCCAAAATTTATGGAAAACTCCTTAAAATTGTTCTAAAAAATAATGAAAATGTTCAAAATTTCCAAATTCTGGATTTATCCTGGAAAATTGCTGGGGATCACCATCAGATCTGGCTCAATCCTGGTTTTTTTTTGGGATTTTTTGGGAATTTTTAAATCTTTTTTTGGGGAATATTTTTGGATTTCTTCTGTCTCTCCACACTGGAATTCAATCCCGAATATTTCCATGGGATTTTCCAACACTGGACCCACCAAACCCTTCCCATTTCCTGGAGTTAAGCCCGGCTCAACCTCAGATTTTGGGATGGCGACAAATCCCAAACCCACAGCAGGGTGGGAATAAGGAAAATCTGGGATAATAACCAGGAAAAATCAAAATTTCATCCCAAAAGAGGCGCAGGGAGTGACGCCGGGGACTCGAAATTCCAGATTTCCTCAAAATCCATTTTTACCCAATTTTTTAATCTGTAAAATCCCATTACCTCGGGTTTTTTAACCCTAAAATCCCATTTTCCCAATTTTTTAATCCATAGAATCCTGCTCCCTCTTCATGAAATTTCGTTTTTCCCATAAAATCCCACTTCCACCATCTTTTTTCTCCATAAAATCCCTTCTCCTCCATCTTTTTATCCATAAAATCATATTTTTTCATCAAATCCCTTTCCCTTTGTCTTATTCTCTCAATAAAATCCCATTTTTTAATAATAGCCCATTCCCTCCATTGTTTTATCCATAAAATCCCATTTTTTTTTCTTTAAAATATCTTTTCTTCCATCTTATTTTCACCATAAAATCCCATTCCTTGCATTTTTCTCCATAAAATCCCGTTTTTTCCCTAAAATCCCTTTCCTTCTACCTTTTTTTCCTCCATAAAATCCCATTTCCCTCCATATTTTATCCATAAAATCCCATTCCCTCCATCTTTTTTCTTCATAAAATCCCTTTTCCTCCATTTTTCCTCCATAAAACCCCACCTGCTCCATCTTTTTCCTCCATAAAATCACTTTTTAAAATAAAATCCCCTTTCCTCCATCTTATTTTCTCCATAAAATCCTATTTTTCCATAAAATCCCTTTCCCTCCATCTTATTTTCTCCATAAAATCCCTTTCCCTCCATCTTTTTTCTCCATAAAATCCTATTTTTCCATAAAATCCCCTTTCCTCCATCTTATTTTCTCCATAAAATCCCTTTCCCTGCATTTTTCCTCCATCAAACCCCACCTGCTCCATTTTTTCCCCCACAAAATCACATTTTTTCCCCCATAAAATCCCTTTCCCTCCCTTTTATTTTCTCCATAAAATCCCTTTCCCTCCTAAACTCAAGTGGTTGGTTCTAAACTCAACTGGATCATCCCGAACTCAACTGGTTGGCTCTAAACTCAACTGGGTCATCCTAAACCCATGTGATTGTTTCTAAACTCAACTGGTTGGTTCTAAACTGGTTAGTTCTAAATTCAACTAGGTCATCCTAAACTCAACTGGTTGGTTCTAAACCCAACTAGCTTGTCCTAATCCCAACTGGTTGGTTCTAAACTCATTGGTTAGTCTCAGCTGTTTGGTTCCAAACTCAACTGGTTTATCCTAAACCCAGCTGGTTCATCCCAACT